CTTAAAATCCCAAGATTGGAAGGGATTGGATCTCATAGAGGAGCAATACACAGGGAGAGAGAGAAAGGATATCTTCTTCTGATAATGTTTCTCTGCAGACTTTTCTAGGAAAACAGGTGAAGAAATGGTATTTCCGATGTGGTTAAATCAGAGCAGAGCTCACTCCACCTCCTAATGTAATGCTGTATGTGTATGTACATGTGCATGTGTGTGCACACACAAACACTCACAATTAAATTATCTTGGAAAGCAGCTAAATATCCCTCTTTCCATTCTTACAGTCAATGTTGCAAGCTAACAGACTCTTTCAGGACATTCTCTTTCACTTCAAAGCACTGATGAGCTGAACTTTCAGGGAGTCTTAAGGCACTCAGTGGATTCCTCTTTGCTGTATTTGCTGCCTGTAGATGACAAGGGGATGTATTTGGACTCTCCCTTCCAAACTATACTGAGCACCATCACACTGACGTGATGGATATCTCAGAGTAGAAAACAGATTTTAGTGGCCCAGCATGTCTGGGAGACTACTATGATTCTGGTAAAATCAAGGCTCTTACTTTGCCTTTAGCATCCAGCCTACTGCACTCTTCTAGTTCCTCTCCCTGGGTGCATATAGTCCCTTTACCTTTTTATCAGGGTTCCTACAGAAATCATTTCTCCCCATGAACACACCCTCACCCTTGTCATCTGGCATGTGGTCGCCTGTCTTCAATCTCTGTGCTCAGAAATCACTCACTCTAGTTACCTCTTTCTTTAATTCCTGTTTATTTTAACAACCACTATGCTTTTCTAGTGTTATTTTCCTACATTCTTCAGTTACGTTTCATTTGATGGTGTTGAGGTTGTCCTTGTACTAGATTATCACTCCAAGTGGTATGTTATTAATCAGTCAATCAATGTATACACCCAGATAGCTATCTGTACTTAAATGAAACACTGTAGATAGTGCAACCATACCCACTGTACTCTTGGTACTCAATATATACAGTCAAATTCCTTGCATTGCTCAAAATCCCCCACAATATAAACCCAAATTTGTTTTCTGATTGAATTCTCATTTCCACACCTGTATTCTCAGCTCTGATAAAATACATAACACATTTCTAACTTAACAATTTGTCCTTCAGTTTTTCTTCATAATAAGGAGCTTGGATTTCATGCTTCAGGTGATAGACAATGAGTGATTTCAAGAGCCAGATATAATCACGTTTGCATTGTATAAATATAGTTTTGGATCCAGTAAGCAGATATCTGTAGAAACAATCTTGGATGAATGTCATATGTGGCCCCTGAATCCCCTCCCCAGGGGAAATAACTTCCATTCACTCTCTGTCTTTCACAAAGGCCGGTCTCTATTCTACATTGACTGAAATACTGATTTGAACCATCCAGCACCATGGCCACACTCTGAAACAATTATTATCCAACATTTGAAACTCTCACTCAAAATTAAAGTATTACATTGTTAATATATCAGAATGACAAAAAGAATCAAATAACAAAATCTTCAGTCACATTGAACAAAAGTAATAATTTGGTCATATTTGCTCCAAAGTTCTTAAATATTAGATATTGTTGAAACTTCCTTTGTTCCCATCGAAAAATGTATTTTTCTCCCTCTCCACAGATAACTATAGTTCCTGACTTGATAGTATGTTCCTGGTCAGGATATATCCTTTTACAACATACATGTGTGTTATTTTGTTTTAAAATGTGCATATATTATATGGTATGGAATATATGTTCCAGTAAGTTGCTTTATTTCATCCTTTAATTTTCTTTTAATTTGTCCACGTGAATTCATGCACTCTTACTCTTGTACAATATCATTAATAAGAAAATGGCAAAATTTACTAATTATTCCTCCACGAGAAGTTCTCTTTGTGACAATATACATCCTTGTGAATGTCTTCATGAACACATATGCTAGAGTTTCTCTAGAGTCTAATCTGAAAGTGGAAATCCAGCATTACAGGTGTATGAATTCTAGCCTTCCTAGAGACTGGCAAATTACTCTTCAAATGGCAGTGCTAATTTTCCCTTTTCTTCTCAATACTTGTCAGACTTTTATACTTTCACACACTGTTAGGTGAAGAATGTTTATCTAAATTTTGTTTTAATTGAGTTGAACATATTTTAATTTCTTTATTGGCTACACCAGCTTACTTTTCTATAGCTTGCCTATTCTCCCTTTTGTCCACTATTATCTATTGTTACTTTGGCCTTTTTCCGTCATATGTGTAGGAAACATGTATTCTGAGTACTAATCCTCTATTTATTGTGTGTGCACATATCAGATACCTCTTTCCTGTTCACGACTTGTCTTTCCTCTAAGTTTATGGGATTCTCATATGCCATATTTTCTCTTATTTTTTTATGCTTTTTGTATTATTGTAATTCAATATAACCATTTTCTTGTGTGTTTTGTTAGTTTGATTTATTTGAGTGAATTAAAAAAGAAATTTCTATATCAATAACATGGTTTCTTTTTTATTATAAAATTAAGTTTTCTCTTTCAATTAATCCATTAGATATTATCCTCCAGTGTTAATATTATAAATAGGTATTAAATTTCCCATCACTTTTTCTAAATATCAAATTCACCTTTTCCTGCCTATATCTAAACCAATCGATGTCATATAGCAATTTTAAACTGATACTTAGATTATTTTACTCATGCCTATTCAACTCCACTGCTTGAATTACTGTATTAAAGCCTTTTAATAGCTTATAAAGTAATTCCTTTCTTCTTATCCTATTTTTCTAAAGTTGACTTAGCTCCTGACTCTTTTATCAATACATGCATTTTTAAGATCAGTTGTTAAGTTTTATGTGTAAAATAAAATGTGTACTCATTTTTTAAAGAATCAATTTGCCAAATTCATTGATTAATTGAAGGAGAATTGATATTTTTTAAATATTGAGAATTTCCACTAACCATCCTGATACTCACATTATTTTCAATATCCCTTTTTGTCCTTAAGTAAAGTTTTTAAATATTTGATATATTTAAAGCACTTTATGGGAATTGTTCTAATTTGACAAATATTTTTGTTGCTATCATAAATGGGAAGTTTTTAAAACATAATTTCTAATTCATTGTATTTGGTATTGATTTTAATACTGATTTATATCCAACAAACTTCCTGAAATCTATTAGATTTTCACTTACACAACCAAAATTTCTTTGAATTGGTTCTACTTTTCTTTCATTTTCAATTTCTGTATGGCAAAATCTTTTTGTAATTCTCTTTTCACAAAGAGGGCAACACTTCCACTGTTTATGCAGAGTCCTAAGTTAAGCTGCTCCAATGCAGATCTTTGGCTACCCCTCCTGTACCAGAGGCATTAACATGCCAGACTCCAGCCCTTGGGTCTTAATTCCTTAATAGAACAACAAGCCACACCCCAAATAACAGAGTGGACTACAATCCTTGCTCTGAGTTATCCTTTTGTTGATGGGCCCAGTGTGTGTTCTTGCTGGATGGTGGCCCTCCTGTGTGTGGAGAACCAGAGACACAGGCTTATTCTACCATGGGACTCCACCAACCCATTCAGCTGCTGGGCCATTTGAATTCAGCAGACACAAGGGGAATGAAGCCCAGAGCCAGAACACACATGGACAAACAGGCTATAACTCAGGCACATGTCCACACCTCCCGTGAAAGAGTCTGGGAAATGTAGTCTAGATGAGTGCCCGAGAGGAGAACAACTTCAGTTTGGGTATACAGCCAGTGTCTCTACTACAAATAGTATGATCACAAAGGGCCAGACAGACCTAGAGGAGGAAAACACTAGTCAAGCAGTTAAGTGAGTATTACAATATTTCACATAGAGAATGATGATGTAAGTTAAAGAATTGATAAAATAAGTAGAAAAAATGAATTAGGAAAAAAAGTTTAAACAAGTCAACAAGAACAGAAGCAGAGGAAAGGGGAAAACTGAATGGGTGTGGCTGTGAGCATCCCACAAGTGGGGAAACTATGATATACCCGGATATAACTCAGAAATATTAATTCCAAACAAATTGATGCATAAAATAAACACAAAATAATAAGCAATAAATCTCTTTGGATCTAAAAGTAAACAAGTTATAGCTTTTCTCCTCAAAACGGTTTGTAAATTATACTAGTTGGATATGCAGCATTTGGGGTTAGTTCAGACATATTAGCAGTTTCCAAATGTGGAAATATAGGAAAGAGAGATAAAATTTATAGTCATAAAACAGAGTCTCCAAGTGTAGATTAAAAACATTGAGGAACTGCATGAGTCACTAAATAAGTAGCCAAAAAAGGAAAGATAAAAATACTGATTATATATATTTAAAGGTTTGGAAAAGATATAAAAACCTGTCAGAGTAAAAATGTGCTATGGAAATGGGACACCTGGGTCATCTGGGAAGGTGCTCACTGGGCTGCTTTCAGAAGACCTATTCTCAGCTGTCTTTCTGATTTATTATCTTTTAATTATATTTTAATTGTCCATGATACTCTCCTAGAAAACATTTTTTTCTACTGAAGTACTTCCTTCAATACTCCAAAAAGCTGTCCTTTTGTTATTTTATGTAACAAAATTAGTACACAACCTAATATTTTCTTTAAATCATAAGGTACCTGAGACCAGAGACTACATTATTCATAGAGAGTATACGGTTAAACTGAATTTTTCCACATGTCCATATTTTTTTCATGTGGCTTAAGAAAATTTATAACATGTGCTTACAAATTTTTGTTTTTAAGCAAGTAAATCCAGGTGTTTGCACGACAATGCTGCACAGGGAAAAGAGCACATCATCTTCACACTGTTCACTTGTTAGACTAAGTCTAAGCTATCTGAAAATTATCCAACTGATGAACATGTTTTTTCTCCTATATATTGGCCACTTCTGGATTTAAGTATACCCACACATAGAGACAGGTAACCAAATGTGAATAAATAAGGTAGTAAATACAGTAACTTCACTAATAATTCTGGGTTCCTCTGTTTTTAATAAAGGAGCCATGCAGGAAGAAAACCAGTCCTCTACTCTGGACTTCATCCTCCTGGGAGTAAGCAGTGAACAGGAACAAGAAAAAATCTTCTTCATCCTCTTCCTGTTCATTTACCCCATCACATTTATTGGAAACCTGCTCATTATCTTGGCTATCCGTTCTGACGCTCGCCTTCACAGTCCCATGTATTTTCTCCTTGCCAACCTTTCATTTATTGACATCTTCTTCTCTTCTGTTACTATTCCTAAGACACTGGCCAACTATATCTTGCACAGCAAAGCCATCTCCTTTGGTGGATGTCTAACACAGATGTATTTCATGATTTCCATGGCTAACACAGATAGTTACATCTTGGCAGCTATGGCATATGATCGTGCTGTGGCCATCAGCCGCCCACTTCATTACACAACAATTATGAGTCCAAGGTCTTGTGTCCTGCTAGTTGTTGGTTCTTGGGTGATTGCCAATTCCAATGCTCTCATGCACACTGTGCTCACATCTAGGCTGTCTTTCTGTGAAAACCGGGAAGTAGCAAACTTCTACTGTGACATTGTGCCTTTGCTCCAGTTGTCCTGTTCTGATATCCAACTTAATGTGAAGGTGATGTACCTAGGGGTTAGTATATTCTCTGTGCCATTAATATGTATCACCATTTCCTATATTCGGGTCTTTTACACAGTCTTAAAAGTTCCATCCACAAAGGGTGTGCGCAAAGCTTTCTCCACCTGTGGTTCCCACCTCACAGTTGTTTCTCTGTATTATGGGACAATCATGGGCATGTATTTCCGCCCTCTGACAAGTTATACCCTAAAGGATGCTGTGATGTCGGTGATGTACATGATAGTGACCCCAATGTTAAATCCTTTCATCTATAGTCTGAGAAATAAGGATATGAAGGTTGCACTTAGGAAATTGTTCAGCAAGAAAATCTCCCTATAACCATGTAAGTTCATAGATTTGTGACTGCTGTCATCATTTAGGATGCATTTGGAAATTCATCTCCAATGTCAACCCTCTCCAAGAAGTAGCCTTTGATCTTTTGAGTTAAAAATTACTCTTCTCAGAAATCCTGTAATAATTTGTGAAACATGTTGCAGAATTTATCACCTCATACACATGTCTACTCCTTTTGGCAAAGTTGCAGCACAAAATATTGGATGCATGTTAGGGTACCGACTATCAGAGTAAAGTTGAGAAAAATGAAGCTCAGCCTCAACATCTACATGTTAAGAATAATATCTTCCCTGCCACGATCATAAGATGTGATATTTCATGCTTTGAAAGTTATTATTCACTATTCAAATATCAATTTTATGGACTGTTAAATTTAATACCACCTACTATGCTTATAAGCCTTTTAAGTAAGATGCTTCTTAGTATATCATGGTTTACAGTCTTGCTCATATATAATGCCTCCAAGAATATTGATGGAAAGTGGTATATAAAAATATTAATCTATGAAATATAATATGTTAAGTGCCCATCCAATATATACCTTGTGTATCCACTAGAATTTATTTAGAAAACAGAAACCACATCAGGTATGCTTAAACGTAGAAGATAATACAAGGAATTAAATATATAACTGTGTATTGAAAAAAAAATAGGTGTTCAGGTATCTGAAGGGAGCTGTCAAATAACTCTGGCACATGGTCATTACCAAATTTTGTTCCTGGAGAGTCTGAGTCCTCAATGGCATTGCCTCTTTTTTGTTGTTGCTACCACAGTTTTTACTAATCTTTGCTATTGGAAGAGGAAATACCAGTTTCACCCCATACATAGTTTTAGTCTTCCTTGCCCTCCATTGTGTATCAGCAACACAATGTCCCTAATAATCCGAATCTATCCCTCTAATGAGTAGAGAATTTCTTTCCTGTGCATGGCCCACAGAGACATGCTACAATTTGGTTGCATCTTAGCAACATAATATCAATTATAAAAATGTAAATCCCAAAAGATTATTTGTACCCTTGTTATAAGGTAATACACAACAAAAACAACATAAATGACATTTCTCAGAAATGCACAAAGATGTAATAAAAGTGCATCAAAATAAAAGAGACAAAAATGAGCATAAGATTAAGGATAATGAGGAATTTAATATGGAAGTTAAGGGAATGGAAGTGAGGTAGGATATAGTTAGAAAAAAAGGATATTACTAAAGCCCTAACTTTTAGATCAGGGGGGAGTCAATATGTGCTCATGATATTGCATAGATAGATGATAGATAGATAGATAGATAGATAGATAGATAGATAGATAGATAGATAGATAGACAGAGTAAAAGCTCTGCATGATGCAATGGTGAGCATTTGCTTGAATCAAAGATTGGATACAAGGAGGAAAGGGTAATAGTGAGAGCAGTTTAATTAGGCAGTCCTTTCAGCATTCTCAAGAAGAAACAGAAGATGCTAGATAAAGTATCTAGATATAAATGCTATATGGAAATAGTAGAATGTATATAATTTTTGATAATAACAAGGTAATGTCTGTGTTTTAGGTTGATCTACAAAAGAAAAAGATTACTTTAGTCAAAATTGTAAATAAGTGTAAGGAAATTACAGTAATTAAGTTGTAAATAAATTATAATCAATTAATTATATAAAGAATAAAAATTAGAGCAAGATAGCAGAGTTGAAAACCCCAACTCCCTTTCCCTATTATAAACACATTAGCTCAGCAACACTTGATGGACAAATTCCCTTTGTGAGAAATACTGAAATGAATTGTTGTCCAGGTAAAAAAAAAACCATATTGGCAAAGGTAGTAGGAGACGCAGGATACTCTCTCACTATGCCATACAATTAGGAAGAAACCCTATTACTCCATTTTTTACTAAGGGTGGAAAGCAATTTATTCATAAAACAAGCACCCCAACTTTTCCAAGAGAGTTCATCAGAGCACTGACTTATTTCTTGTGAATCTTGGTGCTCTTATGGGGCTGGCACATTCTAGTCACCTAGGAAAGAATACAGAAGGCAGCTTGAGCTTGTGGATACTAATAGATCTTTCTCCTGATGAGGCAAGTGAATGAAAATCAGAGTTATTATCTCCCCCCAGGTAAGAAACAGTTGATCCATGTGTGGTATGCCCCAATTTCTCTGGGATTTCCCAAATAACTTGAATATATCTTGTCAATCCTCAAGCTCAGATGTATCTGTTACATACAGATACATTGGGAGTAGTGCCGGGGACCAGCCTCTGGCAAAATGTCGTGTCAGGGTTCCTGAAAGGATGAGAACAAGGCCTCCTGCAGCAGAGTTGCTTGGGAGAAAACACAGAGTGGTTTGCATGGGTAGATGCCATTGATCCCCCCACATGCTCACCACAGAATGGTGGAAAAAAATATTCTTAGCTCTCTGCCTCCCACTGGGGAGAGAAACACTTGGCCCTTGGCCTCAATGGCCCAACTTCTCTAAGGGCACCCAAACAACTGGTATCTGTCCCACCAGCATTGGAAGTCTGATGAGTCCAGAGGCAGTCTAACTTCCTAAAGGGGAGAGTACACAGAAGTTTGGACTGGGAGATACCATAGTTCTTCCTCCTGGATTAGCACAGAGTGAGTGTATAAAAAACACAGAAGATTACCTCTTCCTGATAAAGAAAACAGTTGGCAGAGTCCCACAGATCGTTGGATAGGTTCACTGGTGAGGGTTTTCTCCCATCTGAGATTGGTCTGTGAAGATGGGAAGAGGTACTTCACCTACCTTGCTAATGTGCAAATACCAAAAGATAAAGCCAAGGAAAATGAATCAGGCAAAGATTTTCCAAACAAAAACCAAGGGAACTCACAGAAACCAATCCTATTGAAATAAAGTTATGATTTAACTAATAGAGAAACTAAATAACTAGCATAAATGCTCACTGAGAAAGCATAGGATAATGTGTAAATAAAGTGAGTGTTTAAACAGAGACAGTAAATATTAAAAAGTGCCAAAGAGAAATCATGAAATTGAAGAACACAATCACTAAACCAAATAATACACTAGAGGTTCAAAGCAGACTAGATCCTAGATCAAGCATTCAAAGAATACAAACATTTAAGAACAGGTCATTAGAAATAATTCAGTAAAAGCAGCAAAATTGTTTTAAAGAATGATAAAGGTGAAAAAAGCTTAAGAGACTTTGAGATGCAATTGAGCAGAAAATATGCATTGCATTATGGGAGTCCCAGAATGAGAAGAGTAAGATAAATGATCAGAAAGATTATTTTAAGAAATAATGCCTGAAAACTTCTGAAACGTGGGAAGGAAACAGACATTGAGATTCAAGAAGCCAAAAAAAAATCCATACTGAAATTATAATTAAGTCATCAAAAGTCAAAAACAAAGGGAAAATATTGAAAGCAAGGGAAAAGGAAGTTGTCACATACAAGAGAACCAACTTAAAACTACAGAAGGATTTTGAGTAAATCATTTAATACTAATATGAAAGTTAAGATAATTTGTATTCCAATAACTATTATTAAATATATGTTGGAGTTAAGGTAGAGTTAAGGTAGTTAAATATATGTTAAGGAGTTAAGGTCAACTATACAACATGGTAGTATAGTTGACTGGAGTCAAGGCTCTCCCTTAATTATAACTAGAAATCAACTATTATCTACACATAAATCTCACCAGCTCATCACCTTCATCACTGGGTTGGCCCACACAGTATTTTTCCCTGAGTTGGAGGCTTGGTCATTCCCTAAAGTGCTGGAACAGGGAGAAGGGAGGGGAGCTGTGGCCTTGGCAGTGGTCACTCCTAATGAGGAGTAACTGGGGGAAGGCATACATTCTGGTGTACCCAGGCTGGCACAGGTGAGCTCCATGGTAAGTGTGAAGTACAATGCTGCTTTCTGATTGAGCCCTGGACAGAAGTTTTTTGGTTTGATGTAGTCCATTTGTTTTGTATTTTCTGCTTCTCTTGCTGTTGATAAAGAGTTCACAAAAACATCACTAAGGTCAGTGTCAAATGCTTATCATTATGTTATCTTCTATGTTTGGTTTCAGGTCTTACATTCAAGTCTTTTGTCCATTGTTAATTAATTGTCATATATGGCGTAAGAGAGTGGTCTAGTTTCACTCTTTTGCATGTGACTATGAGAACAATTACTCTTGAGAGTCACTGTGTCCCCTCAGGGCACAACAGAAGGATTGTAATGAATTTTAACAATTACTTTGACAATGGCCAAAATGAAGACCCAAGAGATTCATGTTTCTGGAGACTTTATAACCTGGTGAATAATTCACAGTTTTCTCTGTGCTATGACCCACCCTGCTTCTTTGAGCAGGAAACTAGAGTCCTCTCTTCAGCCTCCATCTCCTCCATTGCTCCTTCTATCCTTTCTGATCCAGGATTGGGAAATTAGTCCCCTCCTTGCAAACCATCCCAGTCTTGCCTCAGGAACAGAGACCCCAGTCTCCAGCCTGCTTTCCCAACCCCAAAACAAATGCTAATGGGTGCTAGGCCAGTGGCTATAAACTTCCCATTTGCGGAGGAAGAGTGAAGGCCACATGACTAGGACCCTTTATGACACCTGAGTTAACTCCCCGGGTACAATTGTGGATGTTGGAGAGTGAGGTATCAAGGAATATATAGCCAGAAACCACACAAAACCCCAAGAGGTAAGTGGAATTATATGCCATTTTATCAGATGAAAAAAAAGGTGAATTGTATCACTTAAAGTCAATCACAGAGGTAGTGGCAAAAGTGAAATTCAAACTTGGCCTGAAGACTGTGAAAGAGAAAAATACTCTCCTTTTTAATAATGGCTATCCTTGGGCCTTTATGCAGGAAAACAGTGAGGAAGAAGCAGTTTTGATTTTGTTCTGAGTTTGCCACCTCTGATTGTGTGTGTGTGTGTGCGCGCACACAAACACATGCATATGCACTCACAGAAGCCTATTATCTTAGGAACTACAACTCTCGGTACTCCCACATTGAACAGTGCATAG